GTGGTGGAAACATTCGAATCGGCGGAACACCCGTAAATCGAAAATATTCAGCCGATGATGCCGTATCGGTCATGGGTTGATTTTCCATATTGGGAGATCGAACCAGAGCGTTAGACTGGGTCATTTGTAAGAATGAGTTCCGTTCCACTGAAAATTACAAACAAGTTTGAACAACTCTTGAAGTAATGTCCTGGATAATGTAATGCATAATTACCTGGATACTAGATGAATTCAATCCGTTGAGTCAAGTTTGTCCAAATCTGGTGCTCTGAACTATGATGAAGTCCAACATTGGCCCTGCGAAACATCTTCAAGAATGTCGGAAGCTGAAAGCGATAATCTGCATCCCGGTTAGCTTTCCGGTTCCAGTTCTGCAAAATTAAAATTAATGAAAATTATATATGCGATCATTCCCAAAAATTCTCACCTTAATTATTTTCTGCCTGGTAAATCCGGTGGAAGCTGGGGTGGAAGCAAAGTGAGTGAAGTGTAAACTCCATTTCCATTCAATTGGAAGCTGCTTCGCCTTGTTTTGTGTCGCTCGTCATATTTAGCGCCAAACCGAAGTCCAGTGCTGCCAAAAACATCGCAATGAAGAGGTATTTTTGACAGTTCAACAACTTTTATTTCAAAAAATCACTTTTAAAATTACGAGTCGAAAAGTAAAAGAAACACTTTTAAACCAAAAAAATAACTTTCGTTTTGAATATTTTCAATGTTAAAACTACACAATTTGGAAAACTTTTAATTTAAAATTACATTATTTTTATAGCAACAATATTTGTTCTTTGTGTGTAACCACTAAGGCACTTTTCTAACTATCCATTTTTCTCAACAAAAATATTCCTGAACACCAGCAGGATCTTTTCAAAAAATTTTCTACTGTAGATTAAGTTTTGCAGCATCTCAGATGAATCAATTGATCAGGAAAAGTAAAAAAGTGTTCCGCTTCCTATGTCTCAAGGCAAAAATTTATGCTCACAACCAGAGGTGGCAACAGTACATTTTTTGAAAAACCATCGTCCAGAGCGAAGCAAAACAGCCAGCACACGGGCGGCCGTTTATAACTACATTCCAAGCGAACAGCGAAGAAAGAGAATAAATAAAATCTCGCAGCCTGATTTTTCCAAACAGTTTATTGTAATGAAATTTTAGCTGCAGGCTTGCGTGTGACAGTAAATTACCAACTCCCTTATTTACGCATAATTTTAACATCAATGCTTATGAGTGGTCAGTGTTCATTCTTATCTTTTAATTCCATGCAATAAACATCAAATAAATGCTGTAATTAGCCAGAAATCAGCAAAATTCTACAAGACATAAATTTATGTCGCGCGCGCCACCGGTCTTGTCTGCTTCTTTGTGCGAAAATGTTCTGTCGCTGGCAGAAAACAGTTTAGAAATGTCATGACATTTTTGCCGCTTGCCAGTTTGTTTTTGTGTGTCGTCAAAATGGTTATCGCAAAAAGTATCAAATGTTAAGGAAAAAATGTTAAACTCCAGGACTCGTGCCACCACTGCTCACAACACTCTTTTTGACGTCCTCCTATTCACCACCAGAAGTTGAATCGATCGTTTAGTTTCTATTAAAAAGGCCTATAGACAACACCTTTGTGTTGCAGTTGTATACACGGTAACCACCTTAAACACATAAATGAGTAAAAAACTACACATTTTTTATAATTATTTGCAGCTGTCAAAAAATGTGTAAATTTGGAGATCTTAAAATGTGTAAAAAAATACACATTTTAAGAATGTAGTACCAGTCAAAAAATGTGTATTTTTATACTCATTAATGGGTAAAAAAAAACTTCAAACTTTGCTGTATCCTGCCTTGTTTACGCACGCCATTTGTATATATTTCAGTGAAGTACAACAGGAAAATGAAGGAACTACGGTACAAGCTGGACAGTGCAAGTGCAACGATGGGCATACTAGAGGGTAGGTGATTTATACCACAAACGAAGTGACAGACGGAGCGGCTCGAAAACTTTGGTGACTAACCTGCTATTTCAATTTTTCAGTGTACCACATGGCAACACCACTACTACTGGATTGTACCACATGGCAACACTACTACTGGATTGTACTAGCATTTTCACCAAATGTATTAGAATGTTTTGGTTCTATCTCTTTCACTCTATTCAAAACTGAAATTCATAAAAAAAATGACAAAATGATACGCACTCTTTGCACACTGTCAAAGAATCATTGTACACAAAATCAACTTTGTTCAAATCAAAACAAAAAAACTAACCCATCTGTTGGATGATGGCACAAGCTTCCAAGAAAATTCTGTTACAGTGAACCACATTATTTAAATGGATTTCTTCGCCAGTTAGTCGTCTGTCACTTCGTTTGTGTTTATACTATTTTCATAGTCAATGTCCGGTGTCCCGCTTGCTTGTTTCATACTGATTTTTGTTTTTTTCCTTGATTTGTTTTCCGTGCTGAGCACCAATGCTACTGACGACAGGAAGGCAGCTCCCACACCTGGATCCTACCTATCGATCTATCAACTCATGAACCGGGGACCAATGGCTTTACTTCCCTTCCGAAGGAAGGCGTGATTCTCGGCGTGATCAGAGATGTTATGCCTCAGAACATCCCAGCGGTGCCGACTGGGATTGAACCCAGGCCTGCTGGGATAAGAGGTAATCACGCTTATCACTACACCACCGGCGCCACTACTGATTTTTTTGATGGCATTCCTTTTTTTAATAAAATATTATTCCCCTTTATTCTGCGAGTCACGTGACTCTCTCTCACCGGTGAGGTGACAATTGTCACCTCGTGTGAGGTGACTCTCCATGCAAATCAAATGGAGAGTAACCTCACACGAGGTGACTATTGTCACCTCACCGGTGAGAGAGAGTCACGTGACTCGCAGAATAGGGGGGATTGTATTCGAGCAATCTTTATTTTATCATTGACACAAATAAGAAAATTCCGAAGTTAATAAAAACCATGCGCACCCAAGTACATTTCCAATCGCGAACCGATCGTTGCATGTGAATTGGCACCATTCACCAACGTAGATTTCCTCGTAGGTGTATGTATAGAGATGTATGTTTATAGGGTCTATTCTGAAGTCATAACTAAGGTGACTACAAATAGGTGTTCTAATGTGTCAAACTCATGATTCAGCCATGTTGGGTTTTTGTATGGGACAGCGACCGAGTTTGTTTACAATTTGCACTAAAACCGCACTCACCCCCGCCCCCCCGCGATCTCCTCGCCCATATAGTGACGAAGCTGTATCACCATGTATATACCCACCATGGTCATAACAGTGGTATAGCGATACAATGTATCAGAGATGACATTATCCTACGTAGAAAAAGGGCCTGTGAAATTTTTGTTTCATGGGCCAATAACGAAAGGGTCTAAAACGCTGGTCAGACTGAGCAGTTAGGGCATCTTTAGCGGTGGTCCGATCTAGATCCAAATTTATGTCACATTTGAACCAGCTAAAATTAAAAGGATCAAGCCAAAATAGATCAAACTGTGTGCGTACGCACCGGTTGGTCTATTTTTGGCCGTTCTATTTCAAACGTCAAAACCCGAGTTAAAACGAACTTACACCCTGATTTCGTGGTCAGCCATTTTTTAATCTCGTACTCATTCGTACACGGTTTTTATCAGGCAATAACCGTGAAATTGACCTCCGATGGCTGTCTCCGGGATCGATGTGCGGCTTTAACAAAAAGCCTTGAACTGCTCGTCCTCCTGCTTCTCGTGCTTCCCAGTGAAATAATAATAAAAACCTTGAAATTTGTCTGGTATGTTGTTGCGTGTTGAGTTTTGGCCCAAGTCAGAAACTGGACAATTCCCTGGGGGGTACCCGGAACATACCAGAATGTGGCCAATGTGGATCTGGACACTATATTTGACTTAAACTGATCTTGTTTTTTTTTAATTTCTGTGAGTTTTTACACATCACAGGGTTCGGACCATATTAGAAACTATTCACTTCCCTAGGGGTTCCTGAAAGATGCTTGGAAGTAAGAAAGGTGGTCCTGGGCACATTATTTGACTTCCATTGATCTTGGTTTTGAAATCTAATGTGATTTGCTATGTGGCGCAAGATGGGTTTTGGACAAAGTCAGAAACTGGCCACTTCCCTGGGAGTTTCCAGAACATGCCCGGAAAATCCTGCAGAACAGAAGCGTTCGGATGTCTCTCTTGTGATCCTTTCGCAGCTGCGACGACAGGGCCAGCAGCAACAGCAGCACCGATAGTGCGATAGAGCTGGAACTACACCAATGTCAACAGCAGTCGATTGTTCCGCCCACGTTTCTTAGAAAATCGAGGAACTAAATCGGTTTGTTTTGCTGAAAAAAACCCCAACAACGAAACAAAACAAAACAAAATCTCGAGTGCGACAGCTGTCAAACTAGTTTGGAACAGTGCTCGCCTTGATCCAAATTCAGTTCAAAATAGATCGAGAATTATACTGGTTTAAAAAAAATTACATTTTAGAACTAGTCTAAAACACAATATAGACCACCAGTGCAAGGGCTCGGTCTGGGTCTGTTCCAAAATTTTAGACCAAACCAACCAATTGGATCGCCGCTAAAGATGCCCTTATAACATGTTATAACCACAAACGAAGTGACAGACGGAGCGGCTCGAAAACTTTGGTGACTACACGCTAACCTCCAAGTACCCATTAATGAGTAAAAAAGTACCCATTTCGAAGAAAAGTGGCTTAACTCATTAAATGAGTAAAACGAACTTTACTCATTAATGAGTATTTGACGAGTACTTCATAAAATGGGTATTTTTTACTCGTCATGTTTTTCGGTAGTGGATAAAAAGTACCCATTTTTTGAGACAAAAATCTTTATAGGGCTCGTTACCATCAATAATAAATACGCCAAAGTTCAACTTAAAATAATCAAACAAAGCTTATCTTAAAATCATCAAACATATCAATTTATTTATTAGGATGATAAAACATTGTTTATTTAGTTAATAATAAAAATCAAATCAACAAAATAAAATTCAGTTTGCATTGTCAGCTTTAAAAGATTCCAGAAACATAGCAGTCAATCGGTTAACCGATTGTCTTGTGCTATGTTTCATAGTTTTGAAGCTAACAATGTCAACGAAATCTTTAATTTTTTGTAATTGTGGTGAAACCGACACATTGAATACTGAAAAGCATTTAAAAAAAACATCAAGCACTTGTGCTGAGCTGTCTCCGCAGTGTATGAGTTCTCCCAGAATGTAAATGAAATACTCATCGCCTTGAGAGATGATGTGTGGTGCTACAGATGCACCTTGCTCAACATTACAAGCAACGTATCTTGCAAGTTGCTCAGCCAGGGAAGATTCTGTATCCTAGAAGTGCAAAAATAGTTTAAAAAATAGATTGATTTTTTTTTAAGAAATGCATTGAAATTACCGGTACAAAACGGACCAAATCTGAAGCAATTTTGTGTTCGATCGTTAGATCCTTATCATGCTTTCTTTCTTGTTGTTTCAAACCTCGTCGGCTCAGAGCTTGCATAATCCGAAGGCATCCTCGAAGATTATCTAATGCAGAGGTGCAAATAAAAAGATATTTAAAACATTGCAATCATATTTTGCATAAGACCTACACTACCGATGCTCGCATAATTGTCCCATCTTTGCTTGATTTCCTATTCATATGGGACAGTTATGCTTTTATGGGCAGCGTAGGTGAGACATCTACAAGGCATGTGTGCTAATTTCTGTAAAATTGTAGATTTTGTCAACAACATCGTAGTCTGTCGGTGGACCCATAATTGTCAAAAAACAATATGTGCTTACCATCCTGAATTCCTGAAAATATGCCTTGTTCAACCATTAACCCTCTTGAAAAAATCTTAGCCAGGATGCTATTTTTGTCGTAGTTGGGTGTGATGCGCTCGTAAGTTTTTTGAATCTGTTAAATACTAAAATAGAATAAAATTGTCAAATAACAATCATAAAATAAAACTTGCCAATACTCCGTGAAATGACCTGAAGTGTGGAAATGTTTGTAGGATGCTTGAAAACGACCTTCTATTTTGCAACATCATAACGTATAGGGAGTGTGTTTCTTCCATGCCTCTCATGATAGCTTTAAAATTGGCGGATACCCCATCCTTGTTTGCACATTCTTCAGCAAGCTCTATTATTCCGGTTGAAACGCTTGTAACCTTCTCAGCTTTTTTCTTATGTGTAAATTTCCTGTCTGTCGATCTCAAATGTTTTGAAGCAGCATTGCGTAGATGTGAATGGATCAAACCTGAATGCTCGTGATTCAGTCCTTTGCCAGCATTCCTCCAGAAAAAGTACGACTGAAAGGGGAAAAGGGTTCAAAAAATTTCAACAACCTATCCATACTTATTTTTTATGGAGTACCTATAAAGAGAGATACGACACATCAAATTTGGAGAATAGATTATCTGTCATTATAATAATAACATAATAATCGAGTACAAAACCTGGCAAATGGGTGAGGTGTCGTCACTTTCGTTACAGGCACTCATATATGTTTTAGGAAAACCTATCGGAAGTACTTACATACTCTGGTGAACTTTCTGTCAACTTCGTGGATGTCAGTACAGGAAACGTTTCAATAATTTTTTTGGCCAACGATTTCTTCTCTTCGGTTGCAGGATAACTAAAATATGAAAAAATCATTCAAGCTTTAAGTTGATGGGATTTCAAAGTCGTTAAAAATAACTAACATTTTCTCATTTAGTAGTTTCGACACCATGCTGTCGCAAAGGATGCGTACCATGAAGAGCAGTTCTTTATGGATGGGTACAATTCCGGCATCCAGCTTGGAATACAGAATGCTTCTAAATTTGGCATTTCGATCCAGGGATTGTCGTATCTAAATCGATGTTTATAAATAAATTCCATTAAATTTTCACCCGAAATGCATACGGATAATAAATACTTCTCTAATAAATACATACTGATTCAAATCCTGGTGCTCCACGAGATGGTCCGGCTTGGGGTGAACATGTTTCAATAACTTCAACCGAGTCTGCTTGCGCTTGTTTGAGTTTGTGCACTATGCTCAGGATCAATAGCAGAGGTCCTTTCTCAACGATTCCAATGTCCTTAAGATCGCTTTCAGTGAGGTATTTCAAAGAATCGTTGGTAAATTTGTGATCTACAAGTAAATGAAAATGTTAATGAGCTTTATATTGCGGGTTCATTATTAAAAAAATAGCAAACATAAAACATGCACATACACAACAATTTTACCTGGTTAGGTTGATCAATATAACTGCTCCCACCCCCACCATTGTAGCGCATTTTACTACACATAGCATTTACTTAGCTGGCTCAAAAGTTACAACTTGTGGAAGACCTCCCACCTCAAAAGCTACGTCATGTATGTTTGTTCCATTAAAGCACCAGACTTGCAGCCTGGTACAACTTTTCAAATAGTCTAAAGTACGTTAGCTAATTCCCTTTGTTGATTTTCTCTTTCATTAATAAATTATAAAAAAAAAACTATAAAAACGTTTCTTAGGGCATTTTGAAATGCACCAATTTGACAGTACCCTAACTGTGGACCTAAGATTGGGCCATTCGCTAAATATCTCATATTTATCAATTTTATCTTGATGAACGCGTCATCGTCTAATGGATATGGTTGCTGATGAAAATTTGACCTATTACTGAATTCATGCATGGGACATTTCCTTTAAGTATCCGGTAACTGAAAATTGTTGATGTTAGCGGACTTTCAGTTAAAAGTATTGCGGTGAACGTCAGAACATCTAGTGTATAACTCTTTTTTGCGAATGTGTCAAACCGTTACATACGAGCTTATAAAAAAAACTCTAGACGGCTCAAAATACATGTTTCTGTTTTAACAGATTTTTGCGATTGAAAATTAAATATTTTTATGAATTTGTCTGCCCGTTACATACGACTTCATTGAAAAGTACTCTAGACAGCTTTGTCACTGCACGGGATAACACACGAGTGAACCAGCATCGCCAGCATCATGATCTCCCTCCATATAAATTTTGTAAACAAGGTCAATGTCAAAATCCCATACAAAATCAAATCAACAAAGCCAGCGTACATTGACCTCTTATAGAAGTATGTGCAAAAAATTGCAGGCATAATAAAAAAAAAACCCACCAGCTGAATTAATGCAGCGGATCTCGGTTATGTAAGTATTTCTTGCTCACAATTTATTTTGATAGTATTTACTATAGTTCTAATATCATCTAGATGAATGTCTGCTGCTAGCAATAATCGAACCGATCTTGGGATCAGCCAATGTTAAAACCGCAGGCAATTCGTATTACGCGAGTACACGCTCGTGTTATTTTCACTTCAATTCCTTCGAGCATGTTTCGTGCAGCTGAATCCGACAGAGGCAATACCAGATATTTTTGGATTTCCGAAATGAATAAAAGCAGTTAGTAATGTTAAGTGAACTTCAGGTAGGTGAAGATAAAATATTAACTACCCGGATGCAGAATTAGCCTTTCCCATATGGTTTTAGGTCTATGAGGTAGTACCACGTAACAAGTGAATCTTTGTGAAGTTCCTATTTACGTAATACCGTGCGACAATTGGAGACTGCCAGCTGTGCGATCGAAAATAATTGGAGTTGCTATTGGGAACCTACAAAAAAATCTCCGGATGCTGTTCATGGTTCACTGATACGGATAAGGAACGATCTTACATGGCGTAGCATTTTGGAGGTGGACAATATCCTATAGCTTATGTCAATGATTGTCAAAAACTTAGTATGTATCTAATTTACTTCCCTTATTTAGAGTGTGGGAGATTGTTTTTAACAATTATTTAAATTTAACCACGAACATTTTAGGTCTTGGTTGTACGTACACTTCTTGCAATTACATCATGTTGAATGAAATAAATCACGTTTACATATTTATATATATACATACATATATTTAATTTCTTTTCTTCTATTGCATGCCTTCTGTTTTGGGCTGGGTTTTCTGCATTGCTAGCTATTATTTACAGGGTCTGTTTCGTATGCATTCTTAAACTACTCAATCATTATACTTCAAGCTTATGTACTGATAATCCTCATTCGAACTATGCAAACGCCACAAACTGTAAGACTTCTTAGTAAAAATGTTGTTAACTGAAGTTCGAATGCTTTGGTTAGTTATTTCTATTTTGTAACTAAGCAAAGAGTTACACAGCTTAAGGACTTTCAAAACTTTTATAATATATATGTAATTATTGTTTTTTCTTATAATAGCGTTTAGTATGCCATAGTTTTGCCCATTACATGTTTCGTATTTTACAACAATCCCAGCTCGAATAGTAACACCGTTTATGGACATACAGTTGATGCTCTCGACATTGTTGGGCAGATCAAATAGGAGAAGTGCACATTCGAGCGATGCTTTCTGAGTTACTGATGCTGATTTAACCGATAATTGATCGACGCAATAGTTATGATTGATAATAGATGTAGTTTGCTTCAAGTTAATCCTTTTAGCAAGACTGAAGGTCAAGTTCCGAAAATTACAGCATGTCTTAGTTAGAGATTTTAATTCCTTATACTTTCCTTCAAATTGTAAGCACGACATGTTTACAATAGGGCCGCTTCGTCTGATAAGTGTAGGGTAGTGACTCAAATGGTGGATTTTGTTTATAGGGTTTACAGCGGGAAAACACAACTTGAAGCTTTGATAAAACTGTTTGATGGTTATTTCTAAATCATTTATCATGTCATTAGTTAGAGTATTGGAGAATGCGTAAAAAGTGATTTTCAGCAAGTATGAAACTATTTCAACAAAATCGTTATCAATAATATCTGAAAAAATGAAATTGAACGCTCGCAAGAGTAACCAACATTGTGATGCAGACTGACTTAATGAATTTCCTTTTGTTTTGAGCGTTTTAGAAGTAAAATTTCCACTTGGCTTATCTTTCGCTTCTGCAACCCCATAATCAAAATTTTGAATTCGATTATTCAAATCATTATCGGATATAAGTTTCTTAATATTTACAAAACAATTCAAAGTCTTCTTAAGAACCATGCTAACTACTCCCTCTAGTATATCGTGCATTGGATCAAAGGTTAGATTTTCCGTGAAATGAAAGTATTTCAAGCAATGCAAGACAGGAGCTTTAATGATGCCACACCTAGCTGGAGTTGTTGTGCCATTTTTTAATGCTAACAGGTCGTTATTCACACTTTCCTGAGTGCGCAAAGGAAAATGTACACCGAAATGTCCAGCATGCATAGAACTCCTTGTTATATAACAAGCTCTGCAAAATAGTGAAGACTGAGGTGGCATCAATTCAAACAATTCGTGGAATGCGGCCGTATCCCCAAGCACATGCACCAAAGTGGCTCGAAGAGTGACATTTTCATTTCCAACATTCTTAATGATAACTCCGGTTTCAGACTGCAGTGCCATCAAATCCTGCAACAATGGTTGAAGGATTTTTTCGTATCCGTACTTTTTCACACACTTTGAAGGAACCATCAATGCAACGTAAACTCTGTCAAGTCCTGAATTAATTTTTGAGTCAAAGTTTTGAATTTTAAACGTTATAATGGTAAGCTTATGCTTCCCTCTGCGTGAGCCCAAGGGATTGCAGTACTCCACATCGTCAATGTGAATCGACAAGCGAAGTCCGTAGGGATGGATTCTACAAAATTCCGTTGTTGTGAAAAGAGTCCCATCCTTGAAACCACGTATGCTTCCATCACATCGTTCTTCCTGCAGTATCATCTCTCTTGCTTCAGCATTACTGAAGATCAAAGCCAAGGTGTCCTTGACCGGTATGTAGTGCATCAGATCCTTGACGGTTGATACCTTGGTCACTGAGTGTAACTTCTGTCGTCGATCCTTCCCTGCGCGGTATCGTATTCTTTTATTAATTTTTTGTACTCCTAATTCGATTTCCATTGGCTTAGGAACGCTTTGTGCAATTTTACCAGACAGGTAGGAAAGATTGATATCTGGACTTATAACATCTTCAAAAATATTGTTTACTTCCAAATCGTTAATGAGTGTTTTACCACCCTTATCTCTCTGCATATCGTTAGAGACAAGAAAATCTGCAACAACTCCCACTGAAAACTGTTGATAGTTCGACAACATTTCATAGCAAAAATCCATGAAATATTTGATCTTGGTTTCGGTCAAGGCTAAATCGCAACGCAATTTAGAGACAGCTGCCGATGCAAGTTCCCTAAGCTCTGCTTTTGTCGGCTTGCTGCCGTAATAGAAGGGATTTGTTATGAGAAACTCTTCCATCATATCCTCCTCCTGCACTTGCTCTACTTCCATCGGCTCAAAATCCGGCGAATGGTCCTTATCTTGTTCAGCTTTCTGGGGGTGACACAACAGGATGTGGGCCCTCAAAGCTTTAAATGATAGCTGTATCGAGCCACACGAGCACCGTAATGGAACATGATTCTTTTTGCTCCCCTAATAAAAAATAACCATAAACGAACGATAACCCAAATCATTGAACTATTCCACAAATGGTTTGGACGATACCCAGAACACGTCGTTAAGCAAATTAACCATACAATTTTTATTAGGGTCGTGTATAATTTATGATTTTTTACATGGTTTTTTAGCTCGTCCAGATAACCTGGAACAAACACAGTGCATCCGGAAACAGGACAAGATAATCCTGTTAAATATCGGATGAATTGCAGAAAAAAATAAAAAAATAAATGAAAACTATTCTTACCTTCCAATTTCTCGTATTCCTCCGGATTCAGCTGTTCTTTTAGGGATTCCATAC